TTTTATTATGCAATAATTATTATTCATTATTCAAAGTAAATTTTGTAATGTTTGATTAGTAAAATCCATAAATTGTCTAAGTCAAATCGTAGACATTACTTTTCTTCCGAATTATCACTATTAGCTTCAACTTGGCCGCCGACAATAGTCGCCTCGATAGTTTGATACATGTTCTGATGTAGCATGTATTGTATATGGTCCGTGTTTTCGGCGCAGCATATAAAACATGCATCATTCACAGAAATATATCGTTTTATTACCTAATTATTTCTGTCAACCGAAAGTTGTTCCCAGCCATCTCTTTTTAATTAATTTATCCTTAAACTGTAGAATATGTGTTTGTTGACCCGACCGACTTCGAGCAAAATCGTTACCGGATATTTAAAACGCTAAGTAAAAGTCAAACCAATATAGTTAAAAAATCTCATCTCGAAAAAAAGAAGCCCGGTTCCGGTTTTACTATTCGTAAATGACGTAGCGCGAGTATAGACCTACTTTAAACTAACATAAAGTCGAGAGTTCAACCCCGGACTGGGTATCCATGTAAAAGTGAATTTCTTTGTGCTTTCTATATTGATATTTCTTCGCTTAGGGCATTTATGTTAGTAAGATATATATTAGTTTTGGTAAAAATTATTTAAGTTTTGTTTTGTTTTTTGTTTTTTTTTATATAAATTTTATTCAATGAAAACATGATAACAAAGTAATTTTGGGGCAAAAACATCCGCAGATGTCCCCCTATAATAACCCTCACTAGGGGTGCCAGGGGCTCCCTAGATTGGATAGCAAAAATTATGTATATGATAAATGTAACAATTGAGTATATAATCATGTTGTATATTAACAAAATACTTATACAGATACTTATACAGATTGATTTTGTACCTTTATGTTGCTAGGGGAACACACAAAACACTGTCCAACACACCCCTGAGCAACTTGTATAGAGGGCCAGGTCACCCTCATATACTTCATATATCGATTGTATCATAAGTTACATATATATACATATATAATTTCAATGATTACATATTTAATGCCTCTTTGAGAAAATATTAAATATTTTAAGGAAAAAAAAAACATTTTAAGACTTACAAATTCTGTATAATTAAAGAAAATGTAGTGGTATTTTACAATATTATATCAGTTTGCAACATATTTCTGTAATAGTTTTAATTATAACATCTTGAAGGGAGGTAAGCCTTTCATCATCTCAGAGTCCCTTATTTTACCCCCCTTCTTGCGTTCGTCCTGAGGGCCTGGTCCCCCTCAAAGACATATTAAACAATTACATTTTTTTCAATAGATTTTGAAAAAAAGAAGAGTATTTTGAATCTCCCATAGTATGTAATATTTCAGAATAATTCAAAATACAAGATTTTAAATAAAATAATATCCCTGCATCTGTTTCATCAATATTTTCTAATCGACAATACATTTTATATTTGTATATCTTAAAAGCTACAAATGACAACAGTAAATTATACATGACAGTGGTTTCATTTCTATCAATATAAAAACCAAAAATTATATGTTTCCATTTTACATCAAAACCTAAGAAATTGCTGACTATAGCCCAGATTTCTCGTACATTTGTACAATCAAAAATGAGATGCTTTGAATTTTCTTCATCTTCGACACATATTTTACATGAGTAATTAGAGTTTTTATTTAATTTACTTGCAAAATAATTGTTAGACAAAATATTATTTAATAACTTATAGTTGAATTCTGCAACTTGTTTATCTTTTAATAACTCTATTTTATTTATATAATTTTTTTCCCAGTCTCTCTTAGGTATATTAAATTCTTTAGAATACCTTGCTTGCAAAAGCGGAGCTTGAAATTTTCTTTTTAAAAATTCATTATAAAAGAATTTTGTTGAATTTTTATTAAAACATAAAGTATTTAATGACACTTCCTTTAGATGTTTGTACAGAGAGAAATCATATCTTTTTTCATACTTTTTAAAGATCGAGTGTATGATTTTATATTCACATAACCAATTACTCTTATTTATCAAAATCTCTGTCATTTCATCGGGTGATTTGAGACCATTCTCGGAAAATAGATCTTTAACAAACAATATACTGCTTTTGAGCCAATTTTTAAAGTAAATCGTTTTTCCTTCATATGAGTATCTTAAATTTGACCATATCGGTTGTTTAAGAAAAAGTTCAACACTGAGGTTATCGTGCAATTGTTTGCATGCATTAAAGCATGTAAATACTTGTTTATAGAAAAGAGGCATCTTTCGTATCATTTCAAAATTTTCTATTTTATTTTCCGTGGTGTTAATCACATAGTCGATATTAATATTTATTGGAATACAATAACTATTTATGTAGCTATTAATACAGTGATCTGTTTCTCTCAATCTACATACCCATGAGGCTTTAAGCGCTCTAAACTTAGACTCAATATCAATTATCCCTAACCCACCGTCCTTAATATGACCAACCATTGTGTTTCTTTTAATACGATCTGTTTTATTCCTTATGAAATTGAATATTAGTTTATTAATATTTTTAATATAATTTTCATTGGGTGTTTCTAAAACATTTGCTAGATAAATTAGTTTTGAAAGCGCTTAAGAGTTTATTACGGTACATTTCCCAAATAATGTCAGTTTTCTTCTTTTCCATGATTCGAATAGAGTCTCTATTTCATGATAGACTTTCATCCAATTCTTATTATAGCATTCTAGTTTATCATGACCTATATAAATGCCTAGACACTTTACTGCCTCATTTGTAATCATAATGCCCCCTATTTCTCTGAAGAGATTTTTTAAAGGACCAAGAAGAATACATTCAGTTTTATTAATGTTTACTTTAGAACCTGCATGAAGACAAAAATGTTTATAGTTTCCAAAACTTGATTCAGAGATTCAATATTTTTTAATGCCAGTGTCATGTCATCTGCATGTTGTAAATTTTTTACTTCTTTCTCCATATAATCTACTTTAAAGCCTTCTATATTCTTGTTTTCTTTAATCTTTATGGACAAAATTTCCGCTACAAAAAGATAAAGAATTGCTGATATTGGACAGCCTTGCCTGATCCCTCTTTTCATTTTACATGTTTTTGAAATCCATCCATTATTATTTAGTCTAAATATCGGGTTATGATATAAGGTTTTTATCCACTTTAAAAAGTTCGGACCGAAATTAAATTTTCTAAAGTTTTGAATAAAAAACTCCATTCAACTGAATCGAAGGCCTTTTCAAAATCTAAAAATAGTAAAATGCCTTCTTTGTTATAATTTTCACAATAATCAAAGATATCTAGTATAAAGCGGGCATTCATTCCTATATATCGGCCTTTTATATATGCTGTTTGTTCAAAACCTATTTGCTTGTGGATCATACTCTGTAATCTACGTGCAAAAATAAAGGCTATAATTTTATAATCCGTATTGGTAAGACTGATTGGTCTATAGTTTTTTAGAAGATTTTTTTCTCCTTTTTTGTGTATAAGAGAAATAACAGCGAGTCTTTGAGAAAAGGTCATTTCTTCATTCAAAAAGATTTCTTTTAACATTTCATAAAATAAAGGGGATAAATGATCCCAAAAACATTGGTAAAATTCACTTGGTATTCCGTCCAGACCAGGGGCTTTATTTAATTTCATATTCATAACTGTTTCCTTACATTCAAATATTGAGGGGAAGACATCACAACTATCTCTATCCTTATCAGAAAGTTTATTTACATTACATCCGTTTAAATATAGGTCAATATCATCATTCGGCACTAACTTTGAAGTATAAAGATTTTCATAGAAGTCGCACATTGCACCTAGTATATCGTCATCATCGCTAAGCACATCTTTGTCTTTTAAAATTTCATGTATGATATTTTTTGTTTGATGTCTTTTCTCTAAACTTAGAAAATATTTTGTATTTTTTTCACCATCACTAACCCATTTTGCCCTAGATCGGATTTGTGCCCCTCTAGCTTTTTTATCGTATAAATTACTTAATTGATTTTCAAGAATGCGTTTTTTATTCATGTCTATTAAATTATGAGGCGAACTTTCAATTTCATTAATTTTTTTTTCAATTCGAGATATTAATTGTTTATAAGTTTTTTGTCGTTTTATAGAAAAAGCTATTGAAAAACCCTTGATCGTCCGTTTTAGGAACTCCCATTTTTCAATTGACGTGCCTTCTTTTTTACTTATATCTTTTATCAAATTGTTAATTTGGGATTTATATTCTTTACTCTCTAGAAGTGAAGTATTAAGTTTCCAGTATCCCTTTCCCCGCTCATTATTATGTATTAAAAAATCAAATTTTAATATTCTATGGTCTGACATTCTAATGCCGTTATTATGTGTACCGGGGATTCTACGTATACAAAGTTGTCTTATTTTCGTTTAAAGAGTTGAACTAATAAAAATGAAATCAATGCGACTCTTTGGGATGTTATTTGCATCACACCATGTATATCCATTAAGGTTTACATATTTTTCTTTCCATAGATCTGTCAATTCTATATTTCTTAGGATTTCTATCAAAAGCTTTGAACTCTTATCATTATTGATACCGTCTATATGGCAATTAAAGTCTCCACATAAAATTATATTACTTAAATTGGCTGAATTGTTCATAATAAATCTTTTCATTCCTTTAAAAAAGTCAATCCTAGATGTTTCCTTGTTTGGCGCATAAATGTTAATCAAACTATAAGTATCATCGCCTATTTTTATATTAGCTATTAATTTTCTGCCATCATTACTCTTATGTATACTTATCACATCTATTTCTAACCCTTTTCTAAATAGAATAGACACCCCTCTGCTAAAAGAAGAGTCGGAGAAACAATGTATAGACTTTCCATTCCAAGTACAATCATATTGAAAGACATTTTTTTTTCAAAAAAATTATTTAAGTTGTTTATTGCTAGAAACCTGGATGATACTCAAATGAAATCCCTCATTGCGATGATCGAAATTCTGTATAATTTACTTTGATTTTATAATATTTATTTAAATAAGGACATTGCTTGGTGACGACTGGGAATGGAGCCTTAGATCAAATCAGTTGTCATCAATTTAAAACTGGTTGTCCAGTAGAAAATTTCAGAGGAACTGACCTATACAAATGTATGTATTTCAATTTTTTTTTTGCACCAAATTTCGAATGGTATCTTGTTCATTCGGGATTATGATTTCCTCTTTTTTTGTTTAGTTTCAGATTGCAGTAGAATCAACACAGAAAAGCAATGTTTTTATGCTGATCCATCATGTCAAAACACGTAAGCTTTAATTTGGATTTCTTTTCTTTTTTGGTCATTATTGTTTCCAAAACTTTTTTGAGACAATATTTTTTTATTGTCAAATTATTACTTCTTCAATTTTCTCTTAATAAGGAATATTGATATATGAATATGTTAAATATATCGAGATAAAGAACAATATTGATAATCAAATATCCATTAAACAATACAAATCAGAACAAGGCAAATACAGACCTCAAAACATCAGAGGCGAGATCAGGTGCCCTAAACCTGTGAGCATCCCCGACCAGTTACAACTGTCGCGTGCTCCTTGACAATGCAGTATGTTAATACTAGTAATGACCTAACAATTACTTTGAAGAACGTCAGTCATCATTCAACTTGATGATGAATTGTATTTGCTGACAAGGTCACTATATCGACCATAGAACTTAAGAAATGATGACTTAACAAGACTGCTGATATTCTTGTTTTGTCATCTTGTTTTTCAATAAACTTAGTTTTAGAGAGAGTTTATGCGTAGATCATGCTCTTGTGTATCGAATCAACTAAGAAATATAAACCCGAATGCAGGGTAATTTAAAGGTTATACCTTGAACATGGAAATGTGTACTGTAGATATTTCTTTTAACTTTGTGGGTACATTGCAATCACTTAAATAATATTCTTGAAAATAAATCAACAAAAATGTTTTTAAAAATTTACGAAGAGTTGGCATCTTTCTTAACACAGTTAACAGTTGTTTGTTAGTAGTGGTCTTTTTAAGATCAGACGACACGTTCCTTTAAAATATTTTTTGTATCTCTTTTGCGAAATAAGGCGGAAGTTTTGCATTATTACGCGAATTTCATATTCAATCTACGAAAATGAGCTCAATGGGCTTTCGTGCGATTTGAATTTTACGCATGCGAAACAGTAAAAATTTTGCCGACGCAGTATAATCCAAAAATATAAAATCTCTGTAACTGAAACTTTAGTCAAACAATTCTACCGTCTTTCAATTCAAAGGTAGAGCACTTTTATTACTAAGGCTCTACCTTGCATAATCTAGTATGTCCTAGACCCTTGCTGGACTTGACGCATGAAGAAACAAAGACAAATAATTTGTTTTCACACTTCCATGTAACGGTTAATTGGTAGTTGCATTAAAATAGATTGTATTATTTAAAAAAAATATAATAAATATATCTTTTCTAGATATAAAGCAACGGCTCTATAATTATATGCTAGCAGTGTAAGTCAAACATAACATCGCATCGAAATTATTTAAAGTAATATACGCCGTATGGATGCCGATTTGTATGTGAAACAAAATGATTAAATGATTTGAAACACATAAAGTGTAATGAAAAAATAATATTTCCACAAAATTTAACTATAAAACTCGTTGTAATATCAGAACAATAAAGCAATATCTGCAATCAAGAATTCAGTCTTTTCATGAATATTGAAAAAGGAAGTGCGTAAACAGTAGGTCTAAATATAGACACGTATGTCCACGGGAATTTATAGACAACAACGCACGTTGCATTTTGAAAGCAATTATTAATGAAAGGTTAATATGCCTCAAAACAGAGTATAGATGGTTGATACTGATCACATTTAAAGATAAGTTATATTAATAGTAACACGCCATCCATGTCAAATGTGAGTTGTATCTCAAAGGGCTTACCTCGTTTTCTTGACGCCGTGTTTGTTTATTAATCTAAAAGTAGCGACGGCGTCACGTGGTGGATTTACTTAAAAATAGACATTATTCTCCTTGCAGGATAATAAATAATTATAATTTGATAACTTTATACGGAATTTTATTTAAATGGTGTAATTTACAGCATTTTTATAACTTTTATAACAAAATATATAAATTTCCAGCCGTATTTTAAAATGGCGCACGTTATAGGGTATATTACTTTAATTGATGTAAATAAATTGCTTAAAATTTTCAACATGTTCAACTCTTAAAAGAATTTTACCATTCGGAATTTTTTTTTTATAATTTGGTAATTTGTTCAAGAAAACTGACAAATAATCACGGCAAATTTTCTCTCAAAAATGTTAAGTAGTTCAACTGTATCGACGAGAATTTCCTCTGCCTTTCATAAGAAAACATATGTTTTACTTTTATCAATGTGTACGGCCATACCATTTGTGTAAAGAATTAGCGATCATCTAAAAAAAAACATGTATTCATATATTATTTTGTAATTATAAGGAATAGTGATTCATTTGCGAATTTTATAGCGAAAACACTGCAAAATAATAGTGCTTTGCATAAACTCTGAAACACAGTAACATTTTAGACGATTGGGAACCACTGATATCTGAATCAATTTGTATTTTTTCGATCTGCTTTTTTGTCTAACGTAGCAAGAAATAAATCATAATATTCGCTTGGAAGATCACATGCAGGTCAATATAGGCTGATTTTTTCAACAATGCTACATCTTGGCCAATCAGATATCTAAGAGTTACTATCATATAAATAAACACTTTTGTCGAATTATTTGAAAAACTTTCTGACATGTTTTGTTTTTAGCTAACCTGAGCCAAAGGCTCAAGTGAGCTTTTCTGATCAAAATTTGTCCGTTGTTTGTCGTTGTCGTCGTTGGCGTAGTTGTCGTCGTTGTCGTTGTTGTAAACTTTTTACATTTTCATCTTCTTCTCAAGAACCACCGGGCCGGTTTCAACCAAACTTGCTACAAAGTATCCTTGGGTAGAGGGAATTTAAGTTTGTTCAAATGAAGGGCCACGCCCTTTTCTAAGGGGAGATAATTATGAATTAGAGAAAAATTAATGGCATTTTTCAAAAAAAATCTTCATCTCAAGAACCACTGAGCCAGGAAAGATGATTTTTATTTGGAATCATCCTAAGGTAGTGTAGATTAAAATTTGTTTAAATCATGACCCCTAGTGGTAGGGTTGGGCCAAAATGGCTGATCAAAGTTTACAATGGAATATATAGGAAAAATCTTTAAAAAATCTTCTCCTCAAGAACCACTAGACTAGGAAAGATGAAACTCATATGGAATCATCTTCAGGTAGTGTTGATTCAAGTTTCTTTGAATCATGACTCCCTGGGGTAGGGTGGGGCTTAAATGGCCGATCAAAGTTTTACATAGGAATTTATAGGAAAAATCTTCTACTCAAGAACCATTGAGACAGGAAAGATGAAACTCATGTAGAATCATCCTAAGGTAGTGTAGATTCAAGTTTGTTCAAATCATGAACCCCAGGGGTAGGGTGGGGCCAAATGGCCGATAAAAGTTTTACATAGGAATATCTAGGGAAACCTTTTAAAATCTTCTTTTCAAGTACTTTAAAGCCATGCTCAGTGAAATTTTTAGGGAATCATCCGCTGGTAGTGTAGACTGGTTCAAGTTAGTGCAAATCATGACCCCCTGGGGTTGAAAATTCAAGCCCCTCCCCCTCAGTAAACTTTCAGTTCTGATCTGATGTGTGATTTTTCCTAGCCAATTGCTCAGGTGAACGATGTGGCCCCTGGGCCTCTTGTTAAACATATATGCAAATGTGAAACTAAACTTATTTGCTAATTTTATCAGTATATCCCGATTCCATCAGTAGAAAAAAAAAGTTGAAACCGTTATATAAATGCATTGATTTTTTCAACAATGCTACATGTTGGCCAATCAGAGAGCAAAGAGTTTTATCATATCAATAAACACTTTTGTAGACTGATTTGAGAAAACTTTCGGACATGTTTTGTTTTTAAACATTTATGCAAATGTGAAACAAAACTTAGTTGATTATTTTATCAGTATATCCCGATTCCATCAGTAGAAAAAAAAAAAGCTGAAACCGTTATATAAATACTGTGGTTTCAACAATATTCGTTGAGCACCAATTTTCGTGGATTTCGTTGTTGAGCAGATCCATGATTTCAAATGTTCATTGAATAACGAAATATTTGTATAGGCAGTGCTTTTGTCCACGAAATTACGTATCCTCGAAAACGTCTGTTTTTCAAAATCCACGAAAATTGATGCCAACGATAATCGATGAAACCACAGTAAACATTTTTTAAATATTTCTGTTCAAATCAATATCCTAAACAACTTTTGTAATAATACAGAATTTCAGTTTAAAGTGTTTAATGAAATAATTGAATTTATTGACATATTGACAACACAAAGTATATTTAATGATTGTCTTAAAAGGTTTTTGCATGTCCTTTAGCATTGCAATGATATATATATATCTCACTATATGTATTTATACTTTGACTTGATCATGTTTTTGAAGTAACGATGTCAAATACAAAAGTTGGAAATATCTAAAATGAAATGATTTCTAGATAACCTTTCGTTTTTTTTAGCTCACCTGAGCTGAAGGCTCCAGTGAGCTTTTCTGATCAAAATTTGTCCGTCGTCCGTCTGTCTGTCTGTCCGTCTGTTAACTTTTCACATTTTCGACCTCTTCTTAAGAACCACTGGGCCAATTTTGACCAAACTTGGCACAAAGCATTCTTATGTAGAGGGAAAATAAAATTGTAAAAATGAAGGGGCCAAGTCCCCTCACAAGGGGAGATAATCAAGAAAAGACAAAAATAAGATGGGGTCATTAAAAAAATCTTCTTCTCAAGAACCACTGGTCCAGAAAAGCTGAAACTTATGTGGAAGCATTTAGTAAAGCAGAAAGTGTAGATTCTAAATTGTTCAAATCATGACCCCCGGGGGTAGGGCGGGGCCACAATGGGGAATCAAATTTTTATGCGTGAAAAGAAGAAAATACTTGCTTTGGCCGTCAACTCGACATTTAGATATATCGACGACGATTGTCAATAAATAATTATAATTTCCATTCGTACGTCGATACGATATATCCTGGTGAGCTTGAGATAAAACATACCACAGAGTCCGACACTTCTGTTTCATACTTGGATATTTTACTTGAAAAAGACACTAATGGTAATCTAACAACCAAGCTATATGATAAACGTGATGACTTTAACTTTTCTATCGTCAACTTCCCTTACTTATGCAGCAATATACCTTCCTCACC